AATAAAATCACAGTACACAGGGATATATAAATGTATGGGAGCTCCCGACACCAAGACAAATTCCTTGTGTGTGTTATAATTTTGTGATGCATAGAGTCTAATGAGGTGCTTCTGCCTGGAATTGAGGACCTATTCAGATGTTCCAAATATTGTTATATTAATTTTGTGATGCATAGAGTCTAATGAGGTGCTTGTGTCTCCTAGTTGTGTTTTTATTTTATTTTTTTATAATTAATAAATATCGGTAACTTTGAGTAGTTTCAACTCACACTTTTTAAAAATATATTTTTTATTTTTTATTTTTTTTGTGGTGTTTCTGACTTTTTGGGGATGGGACATTGAATCTGTTCTTCACCTGTAAAGCTAAATAAAATTTTGTAATATGCTATCAAAATTCACGTCAATGGAAGAGACTTTTATTATGTTTTATTTATACTTGTTATTTAATCAAAGGAAAGTTAAAGAAAAAGCACACAGAGAACCAGATTCAATGTCCCATGAAGGCCATTTCTAGGCAATAAAGCTCTTTCTGATTCAGATTCGTGGAGGAACAGTCCTGTGACATATATTTTGAAATTAGCATGCACTTCCGGTACTTTTATTTTGAAACTAGCATGCGCTTCCGGGACTTTTATTGTGAAATCCTCTCGGTCTGCAGTGAGAGTGTGTGTGTGTGTGTCATGACAGGAGAGGATTTAACATTCCTGTGATCGGGTAAGAGCTGTGATTAAAGTGATTTATAACATTAAGAGTGATTATGCGATGCTATCGATATAAAGAAGGAAAGCTAGGGATATAAATCAGATATTTATGATTAGAAATCAAGTGTCCGCTGCGCTAAAGCTAACATTTGACAGTTAAGCTAACGCTAACGTTACTGTAGTTTTTGAATTAACGTTACCAGAGAGCAAATTAATCGTGTTTTTAGGAGTTAACGTAAATAAATATACGTTTTAACAGGGTATCTCGCTGGTTGCTACTCTCCTCTTCTGCTTTATACTCGTGATAAGATGTTATAAACATCGTGTTTTGATTTAATGTCGCTCTGAAGACGCTTTTAGCTCAGTTCTGCGGGAATAATCATCGGGAGTTACTTTCACTTTTGTGTTCATGTGTGACAGGGGTTTGTGTAACATTTACTGTGTGCCGTAATGGAAAAAACACGGTACTGAATGTTTACCGTATTTACATACCGCGGTATTTACACGGTACTCTAAAGAATGCAACACAAAAGCTATAAGTTCGTTTTGTTTCGCTTCTGTTTCAGTTTTTATAACCATTTCTTACTATGTGTGTGTGGCTCAGTGTTATTTTTTAGGGTTATTTTCATTTAGTCGTTTATTAGAGGCTTTTATCCAAATGAGGACGACAGACACAATCGATTATAGCATTAAAACAACTAAAACAGATCCAAAACTGAAAGCTAAAACGTTATAAATACTACCTATACACATTTTAAAAATAAAGAGATTACATAAAAGTGACAAATGCATACAACAGCATTTCAAAACTTAACATTTAAATGAAAAAGCTATTCAAGATATTGAGAGTATAATAATGATTCTAACACAACACTAAGCCACACACACACACATATATACTGTATATACACACATTTCTAAAGTCAATATATATATTATTTCATTTCCGTTTAGTTTGCTGAAGTATTAAAATAACTCAAATCAAACTAAAAACTTAATAAAGACCTATACAGACATAATAAATTCAGACATAATGCAACTAAAATGAAAATAAACACAAATAATACAAATCAAATGAGAGTAGTTTAGCAGTAATCCTAAAAAATAACACTGAGCCAGACACACAACAACTTACTGACACACACACACACACACACACACACACACACACACA